CTTGCCTACTCTAGGGCCTTGAAACCGAAACCGAAACAATCCACTGAATCGTTTAACAACCAGGTACCCATTTACTGCTGGGTGAATAGAGGCTACAGTTAAGGATTGGCACCCAGTCAATCGTACGTACGGCTCTTCTAACCGGGTACTTAAGGGCATGCATAGCACAGCAGCTTAAGAAGAAAGACTTGGCGCTTCTTGAATCTAGGTCTAGTTACGCAAGTACTTAGGAAAGTTTTCGTTCTTACCATCATCGTGGCGGTTACGTTGGGGGTTCAGGAAGGGCACTTAAGAACACCGATCTTCCCTATAACATCTCTTCCCTACGACACGTCCGGACACGCAACTCTCCTGCGCCAGGTAAGTCCACTACGGGCTCACCATAGCCCGTGCTACTTGCCCCGCTCCTGTGACAGGTAAGTCCACTACGGGCTCACCATAGCCCGTGCTAGTTGCCCCGCTCCTGTGCCAGATAAGTCCACTACGGGCTCACCATAACCTGTGCTACTTGGACCTTGTTCCGAGTAGCTGAATCTATAACAACAACAAACGACACGTCCACTCCAGTCGCAGCTTTACGTCCACCGTATATAACTCTAATCGGTCTCTTAGCTAGACTTTACAAGAATTATAAAGCTACAATTCTTCACAAAAAAGCCAAACTACTTACCTTTACAAGAATGTAAATTCAACTTAATTTCTATATTCTCTGTTAACCCACAATGTACCTTCTCGTATATAAATAAATAAATAAATAAATAAATACTACACAATCCTGAGGGTCGAAATGTGATAATAAACAAACCATTTCTGTTGGCTGCAGAAATGTTTGCAACTGCAACTGCACGTACCATGAAGAAGTCCTTCATGTTAGCTTTATATGCATCTCTCCTTGTAACTTGTGATAAATGTCTTTTGTGAATTTATAATTAGATTTAATATAGCAAGATAAAGAACACTGTTTCCCAAAACGGTGTTATCCTTCTCCCGCTGGCCCTCCCGGGATTGGGGGTGCTCCGCCGGAACCCCCAAAGTGATAAGCCTGCAGATAGCTAAGAAATATTCCCATGAATTGTAATTAGTCTAATTAATGCAACTTTCATTTACTACCTATGGATGTAGTTATTAATTGTAATTGATCTCTACTTTATCATTAAGGATTATTCATTATAATTATTCCTTAATACTTTATTGTTATGCACTAGTCAATAATTATTTATCATTCATCCAAATTAGCTATTTGATTCATTAAAATAATTGCTTATCATTATACTATTTGTTGTTATTATTATTATTTATTATATAATAATAATTTTATCTATTAATTTGTTATTTATTAATTTATATAATAAATTAATTTATTATATATTAATTTTATATATTTATTATTCATTATAAAATAAACAAGTCCCCAATCTGAGCACGTTTTCTTCCAACCTCAGAAAATTATTCCAGTAGTAAGTAAATAAGCACTGAACTTGAAATATAAGAATAGGCTTCAGGCTATATTCCAGCCGGGACAGGCAAGCTTGGGAGTATTTGCTGTCACCTAATGCCTCTGTTCACCTAGCACAACCATTTCTGTCCCGCCCAGGATTCGAACCCACAATTTTCGATTGTGAGTCGAGAACGAACCCGACTATACTACAGAGAACAAATCTACAAGGGCCGTGATGAGGGTTCGAACCTATGTCCGAAATTATCTCAGACGTGCCTTTATCGACTGTGCCGCGACACGGTCAAAAGAATAACCGGGAGTTCATCTGACGTCACATGGATCCTGCAGTCTCTCAGACACAAACCAGGGTTTTACACAACTCCGTGCACCCGGGATCTGTCAATAAGCTGTTCTACCTCTTCGCCCTTACTTCATTACACACAGAAATCACAATAGGGTGATGCATCAAATGAACAAAAACCCTCATATATACACACTGGATTCCTGTCCCATGACACAAAGAATTATATAAATTATTATTTCAAACTTTGTCAGTACAAGCAGGAAGGCCCTTTGTTGGTTTGCAATGCCAATTAAATCCTTTGTAATAGTCTAATTAGTACTAAATGTAATTTTTTAAATAAAATATAGCATAGCAGTACATTATTTGATTAATTAATAAACTGCTAAACATGATAAGTAAGCCAATAAGCAAGATGCTTTTATTATTATTTTAACTTACATATAATTGTCCTACACTCACAATGTCCAGTTACCCAACCACAATAGTTAATATTGGGCTTATTAATTCAATATCCTATTTAGCAGTCCATGAGGTTTACTGTGAGGAGGCTTGCACAGGCTGAACTGCGAGATTCACAATATGCTGTTTATGTCCATGGATTAATTTTTATTAAGGACTGTACACTTACTTTAGGAGAGTAATAAAAAGTTATCTAATTATATATATTATTCATACTGGTTTCTATTATCTGCCAAATAAGCTTTTACATCGGTATGTATAAATATAAAATAGTTAAGCCCAAAATGCTTTTGTGAATAGCTTTATTAAATATGCACTTAATGTAATAAGTAACCACTGCAATCATGTTACTTCTTCCTCTGTATATTTTTGTAAATAAATTATTATAGTACATACACACTACCCCTTTATCAGAATGCAGGGTCTCTCAGATCAGATGAAGTACGAACACAATATCACTATGCAACCATTGTTGCACAGTCATATTGAGAATCAAAAGTAATATTTTAAGATTAAAGGTTGCTAAAAATCTTTTCAGAATGAAGTTTTATGAATTTTAGGGTGAAATTAGAACATGCTCAAATGTAAATCACTTGGCAAAAAAATTATCCCAATAGGTCAATTTGCTGGTGTTGTTGGCTTCTCCATTTTCCGAGCAAACTTCTTATACGACACTTTCCCAAGACGCATTTTTACATCAGAGCTTCATGAAAATCGATATACAGTACTTAGTTTTTTTTTTTTTGTAGAAACAAATGCCTTACTCAGATTCTTAGCATCATTCATATCAAAGCCTGGAAGGGTATGCTATTTCCAATGACAAATTAAGCAGGTACTATCGAATGTGGCCTATTCCCACATCACAAAAACTGGACACTGGGGGGGAGAGGGTTCTCTTGACTATGGTACAACTTGTGGCCACTTGTATGGAACATTGACCTGCCCCTTTTCATACTATCTTGATTTTTCAAGATACAGTATATAGGAATTCCTGAATATTCAATCACAGTGCTATATACCTTTCTTGTTTTTTGATAATTACTTAAAAGGAATAATCATTATCTGAGACATGGTAAGATTTATTCATATCCAAATCATTTAATTCTACCATTCTTTGTACAAGACATAGGCATATGTACACAAAAATACTGTTGTATTGATATACAACTGTCAGGATTTTCAACATGGGGATCTTAAATTTAAATGAGCCTTTACTTTCTGTCCGCTGGGGTTGCCCCGAGTCCCTGCTCAGAAATATGTTGAGCCAGGTACTGAGTCTTGGTATAACGCCTACTGGTAGCTACACATCTATCATGCATGGTATGAGAGCTCCATAATGCGCCAATTACCAACTATTCCAAAAAGAAGATGAACACAACAGATCTGTGCAGGGCCCAGTTCACTCCCATGCTGAACACCTCTTGTATACGTTATGCTTAGTCTAACGGTGTATCATAAACATCAATTCTACAACACACTATCATTGGCAATGAAAAAATAAAATAAAAAGATATATATCCACAATAATAATTTCAAATAGAGCTTCCTTCACTTCTTCACAACATCTATTGGACATTTCTTGTAAAACATATCACTAAAAAATTCATATTAGGAAACATGAATATCCCATCATACACAAAAGCAGAACAAAGAAAAATAAAAATATTATTTGTCCCAACAATCTATGTACATAAGATAAATACAAGTGCTAGTGTGAATGGGAGAGCTATGGACTATATCCAAGCCACAAAAATTGTAGAGATTCTTAAACCTGGTCCATATATCAATAACACATAACTGCTCGCTTGTCATGACTTGGAATTATAAATAATATATAATACATTTTATACCTTCCCAAGGTAAACATAATATAGAATTTTTTCTAGTGTACAAATATTTTACAGGAAAAAATGTTTTTATTAGTGTTCCTGTCAAAGGAACCTTATGCTTGACTATTAGTTACAACTGTGAAATTATTGAGGATTGAGACCATTGTGGCTAGGATGACACAGTGGCAGGTAACTACAAAGCAGAACCCCCATCATTACACAAGTTAAGCTTAGCCATTGTTTAGTCTTAATGGTGTAAAAGATTGTAGCCTGTGGTCAACTGTTTAACAGCAGATAGTCAAGGTTCACAATTAGATATAAACTGAAGTAAAAAGTAGAGTCCTTGTGTGACATTTTCAAGATAATTAGGATGTACTCTGTATGTGTGCATGTTTTTAATTACTTAAGTGTAATTACCTACATACCACACATACCTGTGTGTGTGTGTGTGTGTGTGTGTGTGTGTGTGTGTGTGTGTGTGTGTGTGTGTGTGTGTGTGTGTGTGTGTGTGTGTGTGTTGGTTGTGTGCTGTGTGTAAAAAATATATATACACACATACACACTGTATAATAAATGAATATTTAAACATGAATATGTAAGTATGTGTACACATGTATGAAAGTATATATAAATTCATGTGAATGCTTGATTGATTATATATATATATATATATATATATATATATATATATATATATATATATATATATATATATATATATATATATATATATATATATATATATACACACACACATTTATATATATATATATATATATATATATACACACCCACACACAAATTTCTATATATTATTTTATATAATTTCTTTACAAGAATTAACAGCCCATGTGAACTAAGTATCATCCCCATAAAAATTCACCTGAGGAATTGTGCTGGAAAGCTTTTCACTTTGGGACAAATTCATAACCATTAACTGAAGCTTTTATAAAGATCAGTAAGTAAGTACATATATATATATATATATATATATATATATATATATATATATATATATATATATATATATATATATATATATATATTGTTTAGAAAAGCATATATTTGCATGGTTCATCACCAAAATGCCTTGACCAGAAAAATAAAGGGAGGAAGTCTCTCACTCACACGAGCACAACACAGGACACAAAGTTTCTCTGGCAGTTTCTGGGCTTTCACATAAAAAGTATTGGGAGCCCATTATTTTGCAAGGAGAAAGAACCTAATATTATTTTGTACTTTCCAAAAACAAACAGATAGGGGAGGGATAAGCAAAAATAAAAAATAAAATAAAATTAGATAAAATCTTAGAAATCAAGGAATGGATAAAGGGCATGGATGGTATGCAATAAAATACTCTAAAGACATATAAAGCTTTCCAACAATATACATAATCAGCTGTGGTCAGGCCACACCAGAACCTGTGGTCAGACCACAGCAGGACCTGTGGTTAGGACACACCAGGACCTGTGGTCGGGCCACAGCAGTAGCTGAGGTCGGGCCACAGCAGCAGCTGTGGTCAGGCCACAGCAGGACCTGTGGTCAGGCCACATCACGAGTGCTTTGTGACATGATGCAGGGGGTGCAGTTAACAATAACACTGCTTATGAAATTATTATGCAAATGACAGAACACTCAATTTGGCCCAACCAACAAATATTTAATTCGCACAAGGACTCAAGAAGAATTTCTACACAGAGAGCAGAGCCTATTACAATAGGATTGCTGAAGATATCGTACAAGTTAGGACAAAAGCAAGGCCCTCCTGCCACAAGCAGGCTGGGACCCAGGAGGGTAACAAGCCCGCCATCACGACCCTCTGGATCCCGGGGCAGAGCAATCATGTCCAGAATAATTTCCATTAAAACCCAAACTAGGCGACACCAGCCCTGGTGGTGCCTGGGCTGGTTGTCCCTGTGGCCTTACAGGAGCTGGATGTCCAATAGGAGCTGGGCCTTGGGGGGTAACACTTGAATTGTGTGCTTGGGCTGGGGGCACACGACCAGGAAACAGTGAAATGGCTGGGGGCACCATTCCTGCTGCTGGAGCACTGTATTGCCCCCTAGAATATGGTCGTGAGGGATATGCAGGATTTTGCTGAGATGCAAGGGAGGACGAAACAAGAGGTCCAATCTGAACTGAAGATGAGTGATGAGGAGCAGGAGTCGACGTACCTCCCAAAGTCTGTGCACTGGGAATGGGGGACAGTTTTGACTGTATGGCTATGGGAATGTGTGCCCCTATGGGTGGTGTGACAGGACATGCCATAGGGACTGTTGGAGAGGGAACTGTTGCAGTTAATGGAACCGAAGATGAAGCAATGCCTGCTGTTGGTAATAAACATTGGGAAGCTTGCAAGGATGATCCATTCCGAGATGAAGATGCACTAGGTCCCATTATAGGTATTGGTACTGGAGTAGGTCCATGGTATGATCCTGGCATACTCAAACTAGTTCCAGAAGACCCTTGGTGTGAGGGCAATGGTAATAATCGTTGCATATTGCCAGTAGGGATGTTAAGTAGCCCAGTGCTAATATTACTGGAATTTGTAATTTGTGATGGATTACAAACAGGTTGTGTTGCTCCAACTTTGGAAGAACAGACAACTTTTTGAACTGTGACTTGTCGTCCTTGGAATATCGAGTTTTTTGGAGGTGCCGTTGGTGGAGGCGGAGGTGGTGGTAAATTCTTTTCTTTATGACGACGATAACTTCTATCCCGATCCTCTCCATCTGTTAAAGGGTGATTAAAAACTATTAATACAGAATATAGTGTTCTTAAATTCTAGCACTGCAAATTGCTAGACTTGTTCCAACCTAAAAAAAAAAATTACAAAATATGCATAAATGGGTAAAATTATTGCAGAGCATTAAAATTAAAGAAAATATTTATGTTTTATTTAATTTTCCAGGTTAACCTCCATGCTGCACGGCCTTAAAATATGACATTCCTGCTGTGCACCAATAATAAATTTTTTGCAAAAAATTATTTTATCTTCTTATATTGTTAAAATGCAGTCTCTGATCATGGGAAACTAAACAAAAATATTGTATGTGACATACTTTAGCCGTGATGGAGCTGGTTAAGTTGAGCAAATTATGGGTGCTGAGCGATGGAGCACTCGGGGTCACTCGACCCCGCCACCCCGTGGGGCAGAAGTTGCCATGAACATAATTTTTTTCAATTATTTTGATGTTTCTTATTAGTGTCTTCTCTGTTTTTTTTTTTTTTGCTGTAATATTATTCAAACGTGTGTAATTTGTGGAATTTATATAGTTCAATGTGTGGAACATCACTATGTTCAAAATTACGCGGCTCATATACAGTATGTGACATGTATACTGTATTATATTTTATAATCAATCAAACAGTTTTTTTGCTGTTATTACACTACATACACACACATTGTATATACCTATTTACATATGTGTTCACCATAACGAACCACTAAGTTGGTATGCTGACTCAAAATAACAAGACTGGCCGTGACACAGCAACTAGCAGACACCACCTCAATCCCTCCTTCAACACCCACTCGCCAACATTCCTCCTCCCACCATACTGTTATTATTTATATTACACTATTTACACATGTTATATACAAGTATCTACATGTTTTATTCACCCTAACTATACAACTAAGCTAGTATGGTGTGCAAACAGCATAGTGGCCCCCAATACACTGCATGACAAGTCACACAGCAGCCAGCAGATGACAGCCTCACTAACTCCCTCACCAAAATGGTTCCTCCCCAACATACTCCTTTTGCTGTTATAACACACTATATACACACTTTATATATAAGTATCTACAGTTGTGTTCACCATAGCAAACCACTAAGCTGGTATGGTGAGTCAAAATAACAAGAGTGGTTGCCACACACCAGCCAGCTAACACTACCTACCTCCCTGGTCTGGTCAGGACGCCTGGTCAATGACCGGGCTGCGAGGACGCTAAGCCCTGAAAACACCTAAAGGTAACCTTCCTCCTCACGCCATACTACGCACATCGCTAATTATCACTACAATCTAGCTATTATCAGAATCCTGGTCACTAAATCCTGTAACTTAATAATTTTCCACAAGTTTATTTTGTAAAGGAACATGAGAAATCGTTTCAAGATTCTTAGATGGATCAAACAATGAAGGTGATGTGGCTAGTGCTGTGAACATCTCGAGCAGCATTGTGTTCACTGATATCTGAACATTGAACACAGTCTATCACAGTCAGCCTATATATTTTGGCATTTTTAGGTGATGCTGTGATCACAAGCTGAACAACAGTGTTGTTAGTTTATGCTGCATACACCAGCCTTGGTTCCTCACTCAGTACTGAGGCTATCACACCCGGGAATGTTGCCCACGATTTAAAAAAAGAAAATGATGTCTGTTTACTAGAGCCCTGAGGAAGCTGATGTGAACCCCATATAGTCACAAGTGTTTTTAATGCTACACTATACCTACAAGTGCCCTGAGGCAGTCTGCGCACCCCCGATCTAGAGCCTCAAGGCGCTCTGCACAGTGCAGTGTTTAAAGTAATTTGGTTTAAGTTTTCAACATTAAAAACCAAAATTTAAAGATTTTCTGGGTTACACAAGTAACAATTTAGTACTTCAGACTTTAAGTTGGTTACTTGATAATGGAACTTATGACACACAAATCCACTTGCATTTAAACATTTAGTGTCTTCACTCCATAACCCACAGGAGTTATAAATATTTGTATACAATTATTACCTGATCTCCAGGTAGCCCTGTCCAAACTTTGGCCAATTGGCATGACACTCTGAATGATGTGCACATCACTTAACCCCTGGTCATTGGCATGACTCTCTGGATGACGTGCACATCACTTAACCCCTGGTCATTGGCACGACTCTCTGGATGACGTGCACATCACTTAACCCCTGGTCATTGGCATGACTCTCTGGATGATGTGCACATCACTTAACCCCTGGTCATTGGCATGACTCTCTGGATGACGTGCACATCACTTAACTCTTCACCATGATACTAAATTTTCGGTCTGGTTATCACAAAGGGTCAAAAAGAAGGTATAAAATTGTTGTATTGGTAATGAAATAAGAAAAACCTACCAATCTTTGTATATATAACATAATAAATAATAATAACAGTCTTAATTTTGAATAGGAAACAAGTCCAGGCATATGTTCTCAACACAAAGTATATCATATCATAAATATCACATACATTTGAATGTAGAGACTATACTGAATACCAAATCTCACTAACCATGTATTCTCTCATATAGGGTTCTGTGAACGCTCAAAAGGCTCCTGCCTTTGCCTCTACAAGGTCATTTGTGAATGGTACTTTACTTTTCGTCTTTGCTTTTTAGTCCCTGTATGTTAGCAAAGACAAATGAGATTACTCTATTTGATATATTGTTATTGGAAGGTTTTTTAGGGAGGTCCATTATCATGGGCACATTGTGTATATGCTTTTTGTTGCTGTATTGTTGCCTGTCGTCGTAGCTCTGGAGTGAAATAGTAGCCTGATTAAGGTTTGTGTATGTTTTGTTCTGTCAGTTCCTGTTCCATGCATACCCTCTGTTCATTCTTTTATAACCTCTTTCTTCTGGGTATAAAAAATGATCTCACTTTCATCCAAGACCATTTTCCATTTTCCTTTCTGTAGCATTGTGTCTTTTTTCGTGAAATTTTGTGTGATCATAGCATTTTCTCTTTTCAAGTGAAGTTTTGCACATGTCAGGATGGAAATGTTGATCCAAAATTACATTTTCCCTTTCTAAATGGATTTAGACAATTTCTGAAATGAGGGATTCTAATCCCTTTCTTTTTCCAGAATATTTATGTCTGCAAATGTCTTTTGCACAGTACAATATTTACATGTGTTTTTCTTTCCAGTCCGTCTCTGTCCATCAAGGTTAGTTGTAGTGCCTGTATTGGTCGAGCTGTCTGCGAGACTCTCCTGCCTACCTGCTCTAAAGATAACAGCAGAAAAGAAAGATGGCTTTCTTTTCTGCTGTTATCTTTATCTGGATGTATCAAATCTAGGTTTACTTTTTGTGTTTTTCTATTTTAGTTTCCATAGCATCTGCCTCTGCACTATTACTATTCTTTTCTTCCCATTCTGCCTGAATAGTTGGTAGGTATTCCATGAAAGCAGTTTTATGACCATGAGACACATTATCCAAATTTGTTAATATGCTTCAGACATGCAAATCTGTCCTGCATATCCAAGAGAGGTGACCTTCTTGCAGTCTTTGACTTTAACTTGTGCACAAGAAATGTGAAATTTATTTTTACACATTTGTATACAAAATATAGTTAGTCGTGTTTATTCCACCAAGACCCCGACTAACAAGCAGGGTGTTATCCCCTGATGTGCTTAAAAGAGCAGAGATTGTGCCACTTTAAAAAGAAGGTGGTAATTATACATTTAAAATAAATATATATATTTATTTATCTATTTTAAATAATGCTAAGAAATAAGATTACAAAATACATTGAGTAACAAGTGTCTCCAAAGAATACTTGATCAACCAGTGTCTCCAAACCACAATGAATCCAAACACCTCCAAAGAATACCTGATCAACTGGGCTGTGATTCATACGTCAGGCTGCGAGCAGCTGCATCCAACAGCCTAGTTGACCAGACGACCAACCAGGAGGCCTGGTCAGAGACCAGGCCGCGGGACCATTGGTCCCCGGAACCTCCACAAGGTGTGTACATAGTCCTGGTAAACATGAGTTTAGAACAGGACACTCTTGCCTCTCATATTTGTTATTTAATGGTCTTAGATACTATGGAAGACAAGCAAAACCCCAATGTAATATACACAGATTTTGCAAAATCTTTCAACAAATATGGCCATCATATTATTGGATACAAAATGAGCACAACAGGAATTACTGGCAAAGTAGGAGGATGGATCTTCAAATAAATTACAACATAATTTTTCATTATAGAATTATTAATTTGTATGCAGAACGTAAGAAAACATGAAAATAAATTAATATTTAGTGTTTCACTGGGTGGAGGCACTCCACAAGGCTGCATCTGGCACTTGTCAACGCCTGGTGCTCGACTATGCCGATGCTTTCTGTTTTATCCTCTAACGTTTCATTGATGGTTTTATCACCAGTTTTCTTTATTTACATCCACAGAGTTTTTATATTCACATCTGCATTATACATATGAAATCCTGACAATAATTGTTTAAATCATATGACAATGGCTGCATTCCCATAGTAGCATTCATGACAATAACTGCATTCCTACCATGAAATAGTAGCAGGATTTTTTCATGGGCCAAGATAAACTCCATTACATCCACATAGAGCTTTTATATCCATATTTGCACCATACATGTAAAACCCAGACAATAATTATTTAAATCTTCATATGATGATAACTGCATTACCCTGAGAGTCAACAATTGACAATAACCGCTGTCCAAGGGTTAAGGATGACACAGATTTTTATGAAAGCAGACAATGTTGGGGACGCAGAAAACCTTAATAAGGATGTAAATTATGTTTTTCAATGGGCCACACAACAGGTTAAATGAAGATAAGTTCCAGCTACTCTGATATGCAAACCAACGAAAATATCAAAGTGAAAAAACACGTAACAGAAGTCAAATCACACAATAGACAGAAAAAGCAACATAAAAGGTTTGGGAGTAATTATGTCGTAAGTCTTTACTTTTAAAGGACACACAAAGTAGCTGTCACAACTTCAAGAAAAATGCCAGGCTGGATAACAAGAACCTTCCAAACAAAAAATGCCAAAGCTGTTAAAGTACCTTTTAGAAACTAATGACCTGGAGAATGTGCAAAAATCTTTTACTCCACAAGTCCATTCTATAAACCACCTAAATTATAGAGAACGTTTCAAACTTATCAAACTGTGTTTTCTAGAGTGCAGGTGATTGATACATGATAATTTACACTTAACAGAATATTAAGAGGGACTGGTTCCAAATCTGCACATGGAAATTACTCATGAGACCAGGAGGCATTGGAAGAAGTGCAAAATTGCCCAGTTAAAACAATTCCATCAACATTAAAGGACCAACACACTTCAACACTCTCCCTCTAAACATACAAGCATAACTAGCCTACCACTCAGTGTTCAAAAGAGAACCTGATAAACACCGCCTAAGGATATCTGATCAACTGGGCTGTGTCAGTTGTCAGACTGACACAAAATATCAGACTGTGAGCAGAGGCATATGACAGCCTGGTTGACCAGACTACCAATCATGAGGCCTGGTAAGAGACTGGGTTGTGTAGATATGGATTCCCAGAACCAACAAGAAGTAGAAAACAGATAGGCAAACTGACCCACAGTTGGATCAAGTGCAAAGCTAGGGCACATGTAATGTGGGTGGCATGAAACAAAGAGAAAGGAAACAAAGAAGCAATGACCCCAACGTAAGCTGTGATCAGGTGAGCGAGTGGGCATGCTGGCTGAAGCTCTTGAGTGACCTACTCAGTCATCTGGTGGCAGTTGGGTACATCCCAGTTAGGGTGTTTGCCCCATGACATGACTGTGTCTCTCATTACCTTTGCGTATCTAATTTTCTTCAAGTAGTTGTTTATTTTGCTGCACTTATGGTTTCTGGTGGGGTTTTACTCATTTTTGAGTTGATCTCTGATACTCAAGCTCCTTTCACTTCTCTTCAATGTGTGCCAGATTCCAGTCCTGATTCCCAGTAAGCAAGGGCAAGTCTCAAAGGCCTGGTGCATCTTCCGAAGGCAAGGCTGTGCCAGCATTTAGCTTGGTAAGCATGCTACTGAGGTGGCCATCCTTGAAAAGGTTCCAAAGGTTGTTATCATTTTCAAAATGGGGAAATCTGCTCAATGGAATGAAGAATTTAACTTTGTAGAGATACCACAGGTATTATTCTGAGAATGAATATGAAATTACAATACCTAATTAAATGTTGGTATAAGTGTGTTCACAAAATTATATATTAAATCCTTACCACCAATTCGGTTTTGGGAGCAAGGATATTTAAGGGGAACATATTAAAAAGTCTGGTTATCTGAGACATGTGAATATCTTTAATATAAAAACTTATAATAAAGTATTATGGCAAAAGTTGTAAAACACCATCATTGAATGTAATGAAATGCCCCTTACTGTTTGGGCCTCAGTGGCTTCCTGAAGTTAGCTGCACTGTGATACTTCCACACGAGACACATCAGCCCTACGAATCTGTAATAGCATACCTGAGACCAGAGCCTCACCACCTCACAGAGGTACAGGAAGCAGGGAAGCAGTGAGCAGAAAACATCCAAACAGTAAGCAAAGCAAAACAAATAACTGCAATGTTCAAGGAAAGAATGAGACAAAGCAGCAAACAACCCAACAAACAATCTACCCTGAAGTAAATTTGAGCCTCCCTAACAACAGCTAGCACCACTGGGAGAGCTGTCTGGCTCCCATTTCAACATTCCTCAGTCCAGACACACAACAAACTGATGCTCCTGGTGGGGAAAGAAGGACCAGGGGCCACTGAGGCCCAACCAGAAACAGGTGCTTCGTTATATTCAATGCTGTTTTCTGGAGGGGTTCGAGAGGTGGCTCCCTGAAGCTAACCAGCCACTGAGAAAAACAAAGACACTTACAGAGGTGAGGAGAGCGACGCCAACACACTTGAAGAGGAGAGACCAGAAGGTGAATCTCAATCCAGAGCAATACAATCTTGATGGGGACCAGGAATACTGACAAGGCATCGAGCAGAGAACCCTGTTAGACCTTCAAAACCACTGGGGCCAGATATCAGCCCAAGACATGTTAGAAAACACTGTGGTCATAGCTGCAAACTTACTAACACTACTGGCCTAAGTGCAGACTGCAGGCTGGCTAGATTTACTTACATTGCAAACAATCTAAGATAATCAAGCCTTTGAACAGGAAACCAAGGAGACAAATCAACATACAGCTTGACTCCTGAATTAGTCTAGATGGTACCAGGAAGCATTGAACTGTCATAACTGAACACAAATATATCCTTGGCCAAACGAACCAAGAATCAATAACAAAAGGACCCCACAGGAAGCTAACCATCTCATTCTTCATCAGAAAAGGAGGAAGCAGTAAAGGCAGAAATCGTTCACAAAGGCCAAAGGAGCAAAACTCTGCTTCAGGAGGAGAGCATGAAACTCCCCAACCATACAACCAGCGAGGACAAACAAGAACCGAGCCTTAAACAAGGTATCATGGACAGAAGGGACAATGAAGAACCACTGGGACAAAAGAAACACCAACACCTTATCCAGAGACCAGGATGGCCTCGCAATTGGGGAACAGAGGCACATGGGAAGAAAGCTTTTGCTTTCACCCTGACACAGAGAGGTCCACCTAGGAATGACAACGTCTCATGGAGCCAACGGAAAGACTGACTCGAGGAGCTGTCAAAACAGTTGAACATTAGGTGACGGACTGAGGAATGTTAACATGGGAGCCAGCAGCTCTTGATGATGCTGCCATCTGGTGGTGGTCAGCTGGTTATCTGAAGATTACCTGAAGAGGTTTCCAGGAGTTCTTGTACTCCTTGAGCCCAGCCTGTGGCCAGGCTGGGCTCAAGGCTTGACTTGTGAAAACTTGGTCGAACAGGCAGTTGCTTGGAGCAGCCCACAGGTCCACATATCCACTACAACCCGGTTGGTCCAGTAATTTTTGCAGGAACTTATCTAATTACTGCTTGAAGAAGTCTACCTTTGTTCCAGCAATATTTCTTATGTGGTGGAAGTATTGAACTGCCATGGACCTTTGATGTTCATACAAGTGTTCTCTGATTGTGCCTATGGCAACTCTACTCCTCAGTAGTTCTATTTTGTATTTCCTTCTGTATCTTTTGCTCCACTGTGTTGTTATTTTACTGGGTGGATTGTTTGTAGCTTCCACTCTTTCTCTATGAATCTTGTAGTTATTTGTTTTGTTTTGTTTACTTTCTGGATATTTTTTTGGTGAGAGTGATTGCAACAATCCCCTGTTCCCTGCACCTCTGTGAGAGGGTCAGGTTCTAGCTCTAGTTGCTGCTTTGGCAGGCTAATAGACTCCAAGGGCCAATGTGTCTCCTATTTGCGGAGCTATCCAAGTGTGGCCACATCAAGCCACAATTTGTCCCCTCCAGTAACTGAGTCCAGATCACAATGGTCCATTTGACCAGAATCATTTCCTGCAGGCTTTTTGGAATTAGCTAACAAAAAACTGGTGGTTTTCACTACTGCAAAATTTTATTTTTTTATAATTATCGAAGAATAATTTTGTGTTACAGAATTACATATTCTATGATATTCTATCAAACATATTATTAATACATTTAAAAATTTCAAATCTGTGAGGCAACCAGGCTTCAGAAATACAGTCTGCAAAGGGTTACAACATTTACTAAAGGCAAATAAATGATTAAATGCATGATCTCTTGTAGTGAGGTATGCAAATGTTGCTCTCCCCTTCAAAAGAGCAGCACTGTTTTATTACATCTTATACCAACATTTGTACAGTACTACACTACTATTTTTGGCAATATCTGAGCAGCATAATTAATAACTATTGTATTATAATGACAAAGACATTTTTTATGAACACTATTTCTTATGTTAATGATACAAGCACAAAAAAGCTACTACCTGGCTCAGCCTGAAGCCCCGAAGGTTTACGGGTGCGTGGAGACAAGGGGGAGGAGGAGGAAGAAACCAAAGGGGCAGGAGAGGGAAGCAGGGGAGGAGACGGACGTCCTACCATACTTGCACAACCCAGCCGCAACCCTGAACCGGAGGGGGCGATTTGTGCCACAGGTTAGTGAAAATATCCCCAGAAATAATTTTTACACTAAAGTAATCTCAAATCATATTTTTAAGGCAGGAAAACTGTTCTAAAGAAAAAGTTAAAACAGTACCAAAACATATCAACCAAATACTGTCGCAAATCATCTTGGCAGCATTCCACAAATACACGTGAGAAATAAAGCTTTCAATTTCTCAACAGTTCAATTTCAATAAATATTTTTAAAACAAATCTTAATGATAATTATCATATAAACACGAAGGCAACTTGTAATGTGTAAAAGGAATCTCATGATTGGTATCTATTGTCTTAAAAAATGTATTAACTATTTTTCACACGGTCAAGACAACTCTTAAAATACTGTTCTGTATGGTAACATCCAGCTGTTATTTCTCATTGTAGCAGAGTAGAAGCCTGCAACACAAACACTTAGCCTGGTGTTCAGCCTCGAGATGACCAGTAGCCAGCCTCACACACACTATATACATACTTACAATACTACACTGAAGAAAATAATTATCCAGCCCCTAAAGCATACAATACAAGTTGTGAATGTAATGTGTGACCCTAAGCTGTGGTGTCCCAGCACAACACCATAAAAACATACAAATACATTAACAAAATAGAACCTTGAAAGTCTGAACTGTGATAGTGTGGAAGTCTTGGTGGTTCAGAAAGAATTTGCCTTCATAGTTTCCTTGACTATCCAGATCATGAGGGTCTACATAAAGTAACTACAATAAACATAACCGACTTGGCAAAATAAGATGCTGTCAATACAAGACACTCCTTTCCTTGCAGAAAAACTTGTTTAATCCCTAGGTTATGAATCCACTGTGTCATGGACCAGATTTATGGTTCATAGCAGGCCAGTATTCAGGCAGCAGCCCCACAGGTATGTTTTTAAATATGTCTGTGTCATGATAGTACACCAAGTAACAAGGGTTATCCTCTGGTCTATCAAGTTCTTGGCAGTGTGTCAGGATTTTACACACAAACTTTATGGTTGAAGTAATTATTAAAAGAAAGCGCCAAGCCTGAAAGACACTGGATTACATTCATCCATCACTCCATATACTAGGGTCATTCCATCTCAAATCACCAGAAAGTCACCTATGGCTCCAACTCGACCCTCTCCAAATGCCATGAAATTTTGTAGTAAGATAGCCCTAGACCCCTAAATGACACTTTGCCAAACATTAGAACTCAATCTGCTTTGGTTTTTAAATAACAAGTCCATATTGAATGGGCTCTTGTCCTGTTAATGTGTAAATATCACAAAAATTACCAACCTTGAACCTTTGTTAAATCACGACTAGTGCCCAGAGAGGTGTGAAATTTGGCATACCTTACCTTGAGGTTACCTTGAGGTGCTTCCGGGGCTTAGTGTCCCCGCGGCCCGGTCGTCGACCAGGCCTCCTGGTTGCTGGACTTATCAACCAGGCTGTTAGATGCGGCTGCTCGCAGCCTGACGTATGAGTCACAGCCTGGTTGATCAGGTAACCAGGGCAACTTTTGGTGCGGAATACAGCAGTGTAATAAAAAAAGTAGTTTGGGTAGCCATTCAGCTACCAATCCATGCTAATATCACTGCCAATCTCTCTCTCTCTCTCTCTCTCTCTCTCAAAAAAAAAAAAATTATATATATATATATATATATATATATATATATATATATATATATATATATATATATAGGTATATATATATATATATATATATATATATATATATATATATATATATACCTATACTAGGTATATATATATATATATGCGGAAAATCCACAGAGAAATATGAAATGAGGTGAACGTTTCGGCTTTGTTAAAGCCTTTGTCAACACCAGACTGACTGGTCGTACCTAGTAGCCAGAACGCACTTCTCAGCCTACTATGCAAGGCCCGATTTGCCTAATAAGCTAAGTTTTCATGAATTAATGTTTTTTCGTCTACCTAACCTACCTAACCTAACCTAACTTTTTCGGCTACCTAACCTAACCTAACCTATAAAGATAGGTTAGGTAGGGTTGGTTAAGTTCGGTCATATATCTACGTTAATTTTAACCCCAATAAAAAAAGATGACCTCATACTTAATGAAATGGGTAGCTTTATCATTTCATAAGAAAAAAATTAGAGAAAATATATTAATTCAGGAAAACTTGGCTTATTAGGCAAATTGGGCCTTGCATAGTAGGCTGAGAAGTGTGTTCTGGCTACTAGGTACGACATATATATATATATATATATATATATATATATATATATATATATATATATATATATATATATATATATATATATATATATATATATATATATATTAATCCTAAATTGATAATCATAAGTGCCTACAGCAAGCAACACATGGGCAAATAAGGAGCTGAATAAAACAAACAAGATGGCCACATAATGGTCAAGAGATTATAGGAAGATCAGATAAATCACAACTGTTGGTACTTAGTAACTTCAACTTGAAATCAGTAGCAAGATAGGAAGCAAGAACAGAGGCAGGTTTGTAATCATCATCCTGGAGACATTCATGTACAGAATCAACAAATTAGGTAGGCCATGAGAATGAGAGAAGAGGGATGTTCCATCAAGAAAAGAAAAGAGATATTTGACATTCAGTATCTTCTTCTGTTGGGTAAAAGCAAACCTGCCCTCTTCTATATAAAATATACAATACTGTATTGTATATTCATTTACGGACGCATTATGCGTTATTGGTCAGGCAAAGTGTTAAAAGCAAGCTGCAGGTAAAGAATAATATTCAGAAACTGAAAATGTGGAACAGATTCAGAGAGAATGAAAACGAAATGTGTGAAACACTAAATGAATAGTTGCATAGTGTGTTGGTGCAAAATGAGGTTTTCAGAGAACCAGACAGAATGCCAATTTTAGTGAACACCACAGAGAAAAATTATTCAAAATTTTATCTAGGAGGCCAGGTGAAAGACTGGGCTGTGGGGACTCTGATCCACACAATCATCAAAAGGAAACAAACAGAAAAAAATAAAGCAGTTTACCCAGGTGGAGATTTACCTTCGGTTCTGAGAGAATGTACAACCGAGCTGAACACTGCACTTCAACTGATATTTCAGACATCTTTGTGAATAGGAATCTAGTAGATATATGGAAAAAGGCAAACCGTTCCAATTTACAAAAATGGTAGCAGTAAAGACCATTTAAATTAGAGACCTGTATCATTGACAAATGTGGTAGTCAAAACACTAGAAAAAATATAGTAGTTAACTTAAATAAAATACCTGAAGATAAATGACATGGTAACATACAGAGACTATGGCTTTAGCTTTCAAACAGGAAAATCATTTGTAACAAATCTACTTTGTTTTTACGATAAGAGCCACAGTGAACACGCATACAGGAAATAGATGGTTGGATTGACTATTTATCTGGACATAAAAAGGGCTTCTGACAAGAGTCCCACACACAAGGTTGATCTGGCAACTAGAACATGCTGGAGGGATAAAAGGCACCCTGCTGACATGGATGAAAAAATTTTATCACAGAAAGATGAGTGGGCGGTAATCAACGTACAAGACTGAAGAATTTTATAAATGGAGTACCACAGGGTTCAGTTCTTGCAACAGTAATGTTCATTGTCTAAATAAATAATCAACCAGAAGAAATAGATAACTATATGAACATGTTTTCTGATGATGCAACTAGGGAAGATAAGAAACTTAGACGATTGCCATTCCCTTCAAGGTGACCTGGATAAAATATTTGAATAGAGCAACACTTGTCAAATGGAATTCAATATGAATAAATGACATATTATGAATATGAATAAATGTCATATTATGAATATGAATAAATGTCATATTATGAATATGAATAAATGCTATACAGTATTATGAAATGTGGAATAGGAGAATATAGGCCTCATACAACCTACAATTTATATGGAAAGGAATTAAAGAATTCTGACAAAGAAAGAGATCTAAGGGTAGTTCTGGAGAGTAGACTGTCATTAAAGGAACACAAACGACATTATGCAAGAAGCATATGCTACGCTCTTCAAGTTCAGAATTGCTATTAAATACATGGATGGTGAAATACTAAAAGTGTTCACAATTTTTATGAGACCATAAATTTAAATATGAAGCTGTTGTGCTCAAATCTCAAGCAGCACATAAAACAAACTGGAAAAGGTACAAAGGCTTTCCATGAAATGGCTTCCAGACCTGAAAAACAAGATCTATGAAGAGAGGCTAGAGGCATTAAATATGCCAAAGCTAGAAGATATACAGAGAGAACTACAAACTATAAAAATATATTACAAAAAAATACAGGGCATATAAATAGTAACAGGAATTGACAAAATTGACAAAGGAATCATTGAAACCTGCACTTTCAAGAACAAGAGGTCATAGATTCAAGCGGAGGAAACAAAGGAGCCAAACAAAAAATATTATAAGGTTCTCTCATGCAAACAGTGGCAAATGGTTGGAACAAGTTAAAAGAGAAGGCAACGGATGACAAAATCATCAGTAGTTTCAAACCACTTTATGACAGAGTACTGGGACGACAGGGACACCACGAGCATAACACTCATCTGTAACTACACCTAGGTAATTTATAGGTAATTAAACACACACACGCTTCATGCACACACACACACACACACAGGGTGCTCACACACACACACAGGGTGCTCACACGCACACCCTCTCCTCTCACCAGTGCAAGGTGAGAAGAAAATTAATTATACTGTAGTAATTTTTTATATTTGGCCTAATGTTTATTGTAAATATATATATATATTTGTATATATATTTTGACACTAAATTGTTCATCATAATCATCACTATTGAATGTGACGGTTAAAATAAAGTCGAGTACAAAATGAATATTAAATGACTTTATTCAGTATGTATTTTTTATATCGAGACTGGGTTGCTTTTTGTACATCTTGGCTATTATGTTAAATGTGCACCCACAAATAAATGTCATTAGT